GGCGTGCTCGGGTTTGCGCCAATTGTCGGACGAAGTGTGGGCCTCCGTGCTCCGGGCTGTACGGAACTCAGGGTACAGCCGCTCATTGGCTCTTCTTGCGTCTTGCACTGCCGTTGCTGCAACCTGCCCCCTCGCGGTGGTTCAGCCATACAACACCTCACCAAATCAACGTTATCAATAGTATGTTATACAATGTTATTATAACAACGTTTCTTACCTGGACCCCAGTGGTTAAAATTGGATGTACAGGAAAACGTGCCCTCTAGTGCGCACAGGCGGGCGGCTCATATTTTTTGTTAATCTTTGTTGTCTTGTTGTCTGCAGGGATGATAATGGCCAGCTCGGTGATTTCTGGATTGCGGCTTTCACTTTCCGCCCATTCGAGTTGACGACTACGGTCCTATAAGGACACCGGCAATCCAGGAAACACATTAACCGCCAAAATCGGACAAATGGCTGCACTTCGGCAAGCCATAGAAACCGGCGCTGCCCTACATCCAGCCACGGTTCCTGGTGAAAATCCGCCCGCACCGAAGGTGCCGAGGCGTATCTTTAGGGCACGCGTTATACCGCAAGTACCGCAAGTACTAATAGCTTTAGCTAGGGGAGGGGGCATTTTCGCTCTAGAATCCTGTGTTTTTGATGTTTTTGGAACCGGCTTAAAATGCTGGAAGATAAATTTGCGCTAACCTGAAGCCCTTAGTGATGCAAGAAATGCAAGTTTCTGCTTTTCATCGTCTGCATCATCTGAGCGGTGCATTCAGCGGTACATAGCTATCTAACGGCCGTGTCTGCGAGATAGGTAACTTCAACGTCGTAAACATGGCCGAACGAGGGTTCAAAAGGGACATCATCTGAGCGGTACATTGAGTGGTACCCCACAATTCCCTATCTCAAGTATGCTTCCTCGAGATAGGTACTTGAACGTCGTAAACATGGTCTAACGAAGGCTGCAAAGGGACTGGAATAGAGTGAAGATATTGCCTAACAGAGCCCTAGAAGTCACTATCTAAAGGACGTGTCTGCGAGATAGGGACTTGAACGTCGTAAACTGGAATAAAGCCACCCCCCTAACGTGGCCAAACATAACTTCCATATTGCCTAGAAGTCACTATCTAACGGACGTGTCTGCGAGATAGGGACTTGAACGTCCGGGTACGTGGCTGGTCAGGAGCAGAGATCAGCCGGTCAGGTCCAGGAACGGTTACATTATCTCACGAGCATAGCTCTCATATGGTCGAACATAACCCCAGAAGTCACGCGCCTATGACGAAGACAGTCACACGTAAGTTGGATGTGTTGAGGCGACGTATGTTGCGCAGAGCTGTGGGATGGGTTAGGTTTGATGCGAACATTGGCAGACAACAATGCGTCGCATGAATGCTAGATGGGAGAATGCCCCAGCCGAATCAGTCCATTGAAATTGCGGAACGATATTTTTCATTTAACAGAATTTCGTTTGGCCGCTCGCATTGGATCTCGGGCAAATTCCTAGCCCACTTTGTGGTGGAGATGGGGTCCAACACATAATGGCAGATGAATATGTCGTCGGCAGGTCCGGCCTGCAATCAGATGGGATGATTCGTTATCAACATTTTCGGCAAAATATTGCCCGCACCGCATATTACCACCGAATATAACAAAAAGACTGCTACCGGAACACGATCTGGAAGGGGGTCTTGTGCTCTTGGAGCCAAGGGCGTCAGTACGAAAGGAAGTTGCAAAGCGAGATGTCTCTTCTCAAAGTAGCTCAAGATCGCGCAATTCGGCCCAAGAGCAGAGATAAGTAGAGATAAGGTCAAGTAACGGTAACGGTTGTCCTAACGTGGCCCGACATAGTTGTCGAACACAGCCCCATATGAGAGCTATGGTCTTGAGATAATGTTACCGTTCCTGGACCTGACCGGCTGATCTCTGCTCCTGACCAGCCACGTACCCGGACGTTCAAGTCCCTATCTCGCAGACACGTCCGTTAGATAGTGACTTCTAGGCAATATGGAAGCTATGTTTGGCCACGTTAGGGGGTGGTTCTATCCCAGTTTACGACGTTCAAGTCCTATCTCGCAGACACGTCCTTTAGATAGTGACTTCTAGGGCTCTGTTAGGCAATATCTTCACTCTATTCCAGTCCCTTTGCAGCCTTCGTTAGACCAAGTTTACGACGTTCAAGTACTTATCTCGGGGAAGCATACTTGGGTCGACTTCGGCATGGAGCTTGACGCGGCCAATCTCGAGAACATCCGCGCCATAGGTGCTGCGAACATCTGCGAACTATGTGGGCATCATTGGTAGTCAGGCCGGCTGCAGGACCTTGAGGATGGTCAGCAAACTTGGCCTATTGAGCCCATCGCATGTCGAAGGGGTGATATCACGAAAGCTAGCACCAGCTAGCTGGCGTTGTCCTTGCTGTAGCAAGTGAGGGGCTGGAATCCTCGAGATCACCGCGTCACGTGAAAGCTTCATATGTAGAGGCGGCACCCCCCCCCTCCCTTGAACGCTTGGTGTCGATATAGCGGGCTGTATTCTAATAATGCTGCGCACACTTGAATCTCATGTTTGTGAAGCGTAAGTTCAGCTCAGCGGGCTCGACAGCGGGCTCAGCGGGCTCAGCTGGCTTAGCGGGCTCAGCAGACTTAGCGGGCTCAGCGGACTCAGCAGGCTTAGCGGGCTCAGCGCACTTAGCGGGCTTAGCGGGCTCAGCGGGCTCAGCGGGCTCAGTGGGCTCGACAGGCTCAACG